TGTTGACATAAGATGTAAGACAATTTTTAATCATATATTTGGCTTCTGAATTTCAAGATTCTAATTTCTAGACTTACAGATACCTTTAATCCCTAAAATTCTATTTTTATAGCATATTTTCATATTTTTAGAATTTTTATATACTCCACATTAAATCCCCCAATGTCACCTGCGTATGAGCTTGCATTTCCTCGCCCCCGACTTGGTGCTTTATTCTGTGCTTTTTGCGTGGTGTCATCTAACTACCCTACTGCCCTACTTCTTTGATTTCCCCGATTTCCTGGCATCACTTTTCCGGATCTTTCCCTTTTTGTCTTGACCGGAAATTGATAAATCTTTCTTCTACCTTCGCGTCAGAATCGGATTCAGAGAAAATTTAATAAATCTACTGCATATGAGTTAATTATCATCGGTCGCTACAAACTGAAGATTGTAAGCCCGAGCCTAGGCCCTTTAAAGTTTTGAAGTCCGCAATCCATTGAACAAACTTGTTGCCGCCTCGAACCCAAACTTATTAAGGCTAATTGAGCGTAAACAGTCCTCAAATTCAATCGTCCCGAAGTGGGGTCTCTTCGGGATAATTACGTATTCAAAGCGCCCTCCACAGAACACTTCGGGCCCCGCAGGACCCCTGGCTACTTGGGGCCCAATTGTTGCCTTACCCAAACGGGTCGTTGGGTGGCGGAGTGATTGTAGGAATTGCTTTCGCACAAATCGGCAGGAAAGTGGCTTTGAAGCGGCTGGACGACGGGAATTTTGCACCAGTTTTCTTAGTAGTAAATACAATTTTTGAATTGTCACGAGTTTGATAAAAACGCGATTCCGCGGGATCCGTAAATTGCGGTTTTTCCACTAAAACGTAACATTTTCCCTTATCGACGCATTCAAAGACAGTCAAGATACCTTAGGCCAGTAAAATATTGAGCCTCCGAGCCTACCGTAGACCCTCAAAACTGGCAGAAAATACAAAGTCGGTAGAGGTCGATTTTCGCGTTTTAAAGCTTTCGTAACGCTTGCTTCACTGACCGAAACGTGAAGAAACCCCACTAAATATTAAAAAAAAGTGATGTAGCCCTATTTCATCGATGATAAAAATAACGAAGTTAAAGTACAGTGCACTTCCAAAAATAGTTCCTAGATTTTTCCAATGTATTCCCGTTCCCATCCGATTTTGAAATGTCGCGGTCCGCACTACACCTTACTTTCAAATCTTTTTAAACGCAAGAACCAATTTTCCGTTTGTTTACCATCAACACCCACCATCAAGCAGCAGGAAATGGCCCCCCAGGGCCTCTGGGGTTGGGGGTTAATTAGCCGTTTCCAGAAGGGTTCGGAGGGTGAGAACGTCTTAGACGACCCCCCAGGACCAATTACAGCATATGGAATGGGGTGCCCGACGATGTTTGTCTGTATGTCAGCACCTCCGTCTTTTGGAGCGTCCCGTAGTCGGGGAGGGGGGGTAAGTAGAGACTCCCTTCCCCCTTAAAAGCTTTTCCCCATTATCTCCCGAGCATCCACCCGGGGATGGAGGTGCCATTTTGAGGGGAGGATACAAATACATTGATGGATGTGTCTAAAGGAAGCCGGCTGACGTATGGACAGAATTTCAAATTTTATTTCACCTTTGCCATTTATGAGTCCAAGGCCGCAGAGGAGGATTTTAGCACAAGTGCAATACGTATAGATTTGTTATTTAGTGCAACGCAAGAGCCGATCCTGAATTTTTATATGAGTTTCTGAGTACTGTACATCTCCTACCACTTCTAGATATCAACCGCGTGATGGGCATCGATATTTTTGATATTTGCGAAAAGAAAAAGATGTCGAAAATGAAAATACGTAGCAGTGGCGAATAAAAATGCTGGCGCTTGAAAGGCGATATGCAACCATACATAAAAACATACTTTACATTATGGACAGCTGCTACCCGACATTCCCGATGAGGCTTTCCGTTCTGTTTTTGCATCTCTTCTTGGCGCGGCGCCAGCAAAACTTCAAACGGCTAAAGTGTATTTTGAAGCGCTGCGTAGGTTTCGAGACCTAAGCTAAAGAAGGGGGTAATTCAGGGACTTCCTAGCTCATTTAAGCTCCTTCTGGCTTTAGAATCTACGCTGTAAAATACCATGTTCCAGATTTCTTAAGAATCCGAAAAATTCCGCGTATCCATTAATAACAGTCTACCTCACCCATGCCGCCGAGAATTTGTGGGGGCGTGGGGTGGGGATAATCGTCAGCCGGGCCTTCTTCGGGTCAACGCACCAGCTGCACCATCTGCCCTCCCACCGCGCCTTATTCGGGCCATATTTTGGGGGTGCTTATGAGGACCCGGGCATGATATATTAGGCTTCTAGCGGCCACAAGGTTTAGGTTTCTGGCTTGGAATCTTGATGGTTGAAACGTCAAATATGGGGTTTAACGCTCAATTTAGACGAAATTTCATAACATTGTTGCTTCGCTTGTTTTGGTGCAATACAGATTCCCGAAAAAATTATTTTTTTGCGAGTCTTAGTCAGTTAAATTAAACAAACATTTCCTCTTCTTTTACTTAAAATTTGCATAACGCGATTTATTGGCGTATTTTAGCGAATTATGTCATCCGGAATCGCCTGGAAAGCTTTTCCAATTTCGAATCGATTTTCTAGAACATTTTGCCATGTTTTGGGGCTCGCCTGGACGAAGTTTCGCAATTTTGTGTATATCGTTTGCATTTGCTTTATTAGCTTTTTGTGCATTAAATTATACGGACAATTCAAGAAATCATTTTTGAGAAAGATAACTAAATTTTTTCAAAATATTTGTACATTCCTCCCATTTTTCAAACGCCCCAAATCGGGGCCCGGGGCCTTAACGGGATTGTGGGTCCTGGGCCGGAGGCCCCGGGACCCAGCCTCTCCCCATTTCCACTTTTTCAGCCCATTTTTCCGGCGTTTCAGGCTGCACTGGCCAGCTGGGCAAGGGGGCAAATGCCCACACAAGCAGCGCTTGACTAGTAGCTAGAATCAGTACAAGATTTTTAAATTTTTGGAGGGATTCTGACCCTTATATTCTGGTCACGAAAAAAACCTATTGCAAAAATAGCAAAAATTTTGGCAACCAATGGCGGTAAAAAGTATCCGGAATCAGAATCTGCTATCGTTGATTATTTGTACAATTCAATACGATTTGAAAAAGACGGATTCGAAGGGTTTGGAAATTTTTAAACTTGAAAAGCTATGGTTTTTGAAAGCCCCGAATGCGTAAAGTCCGATTTTAAAATTGAAATTATGGAAATGCCGAAATATGAGATTTTCAGAAGCCTTCTTTTTGAAAAGTCGTATTTCCAAGTTTCGATTTCAAAATTTAACAGCTTGCAATATTTAAATGTTAAATGTAGACAAAATACAGCCTAAATCTTTAATTTCCAAATCTCGATTCTGTGCTGATTTTGATCTTGAATTGCCGGATTTTCAAACAAATGGGACATGCTGAAAATCTAATTTTTCTTTTGCGAGTATTCGTCAGCTAGACTCAATTCAAAACCGAATTTAGTCCATTACCACATTTCCATGGCCGATGTCTGCATTCACTAACCCATCCTGAATCCATCCCAATGTGTCCCAACATACAGACAGATAGACGTACACATCCACACACAAACGCATTCCCCTACACTCCCCGGTCCTTAATTAGGTTTATCCGCCCATCCCGAAACCACTACTCACTCAGCCTCTCTCTTCACTCTCTCTTCCTTCTAGTCGGTCTTCCGTCAACATCTCGTTTTCCATGTTTCCTAGCCGCCTGACTGCCCATTTTGTTGCGAAAATTGTCTAGTGCTAGTAAGAGTACTTTAAAGGTATTTTGCAGCCGAAATTCCCAAAGTTAGTTTTAGTTATTCTTTAGATTTTTTAATTTACACATTAATGGCAGCTGCCCGTTGCGATCTTTGTGAACTTTGTGACATGGTTATGTCGAATTTCCTCAGGATCCTTGCAAGCTCGCTTCAACCTTTTTTAGCAGAACCATAGAATGAAATTTTTGATATTGATGCAATTTGAATCCAATCGAAGTTTTCCTAAATGATCTCTGCTAGTTTACCGGACTAACGACCAAGTTTGCTTATACTTTTTATAGAAATTTTCCTTAAATCTTCTCTGCTAGCCTGCCTTTGATTTTAGAACCGGCGAGGATTTTTGATTTTCTAGGAATTTTTAAAGGGGCAAGCTGGCTGATCTCGTCTCAAAAAGACTGGCTTTTTCCTATGGGCACAGATTTTTCTTATTTGCCTCCGCTAGCTTTCCTAGATTTACAAAACTATACTGCTTTATTAATATGCCTGGAATCCCTTGAAACGCTTCTGATAGCCTGCGTAGTCTTTTCTGAAATCAGTACTCTAGTGCAGTTTAGTGAATTTCCACATCACCGTTCAAATTCCCAACCAAATTTGATACATCCCTCCGAAACGACGTCGTTTCCGAGATGTTCGGAAGTCTTTCTCTCTCTCTCTCTCTCTCTCTCTCTCTCTCTCTCTCTCTCACTCCCCTTAAAAAAGTTTATCCTCCTCGCTGAAGCCGCGTGCCATAATGCGATTCGAGGCATTCGAGTCTTCTTCTTCTTGGTCCGTCGTTGGTCCCCCCATCCATATCCATCATGTTATGCATGAATTCCGCTCGACTCGACTGGGCCGACGCCCTCCACCGGCCTAGTCCTGGCCCAGATCGAATGACTCCCCTCGGCCGTCGTCCCGGCCCCGACTCTAATAAGCCTCCCCGAAAAACTTTAGTCGGAGCGGCAGAAGTTTTACATGAAGGACCATGGCCCGCCCGTCCGAACTTTTTATTTTGTTCTTTAGTCATTTTAAGTTTCGCATATCGCTTGGATTATAGTTTCACATGTATAAAAGTGTTCATTTTCGTAAAGATAATTTTTTCGGGCCTTTCCGGGCGGTGGAGGTTTTTATTCGGAGCGAATTTGACATCCAGACCTAATTTACGACTTTCCTTGTTCCTAATTCTTCAAAAAAAGACGTTTTTTCATTGATGTTTTAGGATGGCTTTTGAAAAAATGCCGAGAGCGCGCCAATTTCACGTGAGATTTTAGCAATTCGCTGGGTTTAGGGATCCGACTTACTAGGAAATCAGGTTCCGAAATTACGAATTCCCTCACTTTTTAGCGTTTCTCATTCAAACCTTAGTGTTGAATACATTAATATTATAAATAATAATATTAAAAAAAGCGTATTGAACGGCATTTCACAAATTTTGAAACTTTACCAATTTGTAAATATTTTGGAGAACTCGATTAAAAAAAATAAAGCTAAAAATTGGCATTAGGATTTTCCAGTTTTACAGATTCCGGCGTTATTTCCTCCCCTGTACAACGACATCCAGAAGTGCTAAAAATACTGTTTCCGAAAGCCTCGATTTTTTTGAGGCTTCGGCATAATGAAAATTCGGATAATCAAAAGCCTTTATACTGCTGACCGGATTTGTTAGTTGTTTTAAAATAGCCATTCTTCATTTGGTAAATTTTAGAAAACGTTTTGGTTCTAGAATTTGTTCAAAATTCAGTATATCCGAATCTTTTCTCTAAAAGCCCAAACCACAAAATCCAATCCACCAAAACAAACGAACACAACCCTCGGGCTCATTTCGAGGCACCACCACCAATCCAGTGCTCCCCGCGAAACGGCCCGCAAAGTGAGGAGGGCCAACAGCAAAGTGTTTGGGGCAGGGACCCGGGATTTCACTATAGACGCCCGAAGCCGAGGGCCCCAAGGCAAAGGGCCCATGGACGAAACGGCTGTCGTCGCGGCGGAGGGGAGGAAGACAAGGAGGGAAAAGAAAGAGAAGCCTAAAGGGAGGAGAACAGGGGCGGGAAAAGGAGAAGGGTGGGGAGCACGAAATAGAAGGGAGCCGCCCTCCACACACAGCTATGGCACACGGCCACACGGCCACACAAGGACCCGCACACGGGTGGCCACCACCCGAGGCTTGAAAGGAATTTTCGGCTTGTTATCTTTGGACAATTGGGCGGACATTTGGTTAAATATCGTTTAACGTAGCAGAAACCGAATCCGCCTTTAAAACCGCGCTTTTTCAATATTTTAAGCACCTTAAATGCTCGAATGACGTTTTTTTCAGCTCTAGACCTCAAAATTTAGTTTTTTCTTTTCATTCAATGGAAAGCCGTTTCATTTAGCTTCTTAGAAAGCCGTTAATTTTGCCAAATTACATTAAATACCTTTTAAAGCAGTTTTATGCATATTTAAAAGCCCCCAATTTATCAAGATAAAAATTTCAATTAAGGTACCTTAGTTTTTTTGTAATGCGAATCTAATAATATGTAATAGCTTTCTGTAGTCATTTTAACGCATAGGTTTTATTTTGCTTCGAGAATCTCCTTCAGTATTTTCCAACAGAACTGTTGCTCAACAGAAATTTTGCAAAACCTCTAGCCAAAACTGATTCTTGATTCCTGATTCAATGATTTTTTGAGTATTTGCGGATCCATTTGTTTCTCCTTCTATTCAACAGCCTTGGATAACCCCTGAATTTGAAGACGATTTCAGCGGGTTTCTGATGAAATTTTTACGCTTCGTCTAATTTTCTGTATTTTATGCTAGTTAGCGCTTTTCGATTTCAATTCCTGCCATCCTACTGTCCTTTTGTTATTATTTTTATTCGGTCACACCCTCCAGCACGGCTGCTATTTTCTCGAGGTCTTGGGGGGCCCCACCTCCAATCATACGCTCTGGTGCCCATTCCAAAACGCTAGGGGGCCCACAGGATTTTCCCATTTTTCACGCGAAACAATAATTGGAGTTTGCCGCGTTTCTCAACAATTAAATTTTTCAGGATTACAGTAAGACGCTTTCATAAAATAGAAATTTTTCAATTTTGTAAACGATCCTGGCCGAAACGTTTTTTAAAGCTATTTAATACTAGTTTGGGATAGGGGTTGAAGATTTTCAGGCTTATATCTTGCTATTTCTATTTCTCTCTCTCTCTCTCTCTCTCTCTCTCTCTCTCGCTCTCTCTCCCTCTCTCGCTCTGTCTATCTCGTTCTCTCTCGCTCTCTCTCCCTCTCTCCGACTCTCTCTCTCTCTCTCCATTCATCTTCAAAGCACAGCTTTTTCAGATTTCCCAGGATCCGGCGTTGTGGGTCGCGAGTAGCCGAGGCACGGGACGGTCCAGGGGTCTTCCCCTCCTCGATGGCGGGGGCCACTGGGCCGTCTGCAGCGCCTTTTTATTTCTTGTCTTTTCTACAGTAAACGCGTCGAAACGTCCTCATCATCCGCATGTCGAGGTCAGCCGAACTAAAAAAATAGAGCAAAAACTTTAAAAAGACGTCTTAGAGCTGTTGGGAGTTTGGAGGAACTCCGGGAGCTTTTCGAGCTCTTGAGGCTTCACTAGCTTTGTTCTTAAGCTTTGGAAGTTTCGAAAGTTTCCTATGCTGCTGATGGCGGGAAATCAACGTCTAAGGGCCGTCTAAGGGCCGTAGAAAATGAGATTTTTTGCGGTTTTCTAACGTATTTTTGCTCGCTTCGTGGATCTCAAGCGCAAGAGGCTTCTTTAGCTTCGTTTCTGAAGCTTCAGAAGCATCGAAAACTTTCTATTCTTGCATCAAACCACGGAAAATGAGGAAATGCTGTAGAAACGCCGTTTTTAAGCGTTTTTGAATTTTTTTTTGTGCATTTTCAAAGCCAAGCTCCGCCGGCGTCTTGCCCTTTTTTCAGCTTAGAAGCGTCAGAAGCTTGATTCGTCTTTTGTTTGTAGTTTAAAAAGGTTCTAGAAAGGTCTTTCCTAACCAGAATCGTCTTAAAAATGTCTAAATTCCCCCAGATGTCAACCAGATCTCCAACACCCATCTATTGTCAAAAAATGGAGGCGGCTCTCTCCCATATGTGTACATAGTAGTGGCCCGTAGAGGGGTGGATCGGCCCCCGGGGCCCAATTTCTCCCCTTTGAATGCCCACAAAATGGGCAGCACACACCCCGGTCTTGCCCCCGGGCTGACACAAACTTTTCCGGGCCCATTCTCACATTTTTCGAGGGCGCCCGGGAAGTGGGGCTTGGAGCGCATCAGTTTCCGGTGAGGGGGAGATGCTTGGAGTCGTGGAAAGTTCGGAAAAATGAGGAAATTTAGCGAGAAAGGATAAAACGCATGTTTCCTGCTCATCAGAAAATATATACATTACATAACGGCGACGCGCGGAATTTTTTGCCAGCTTCTCCAAGCTCCGAACTAGCATTATCGTTTAGCATTGCCTAAAACCGAACTGCCTAGTCACCTTCCACAATTTTCAAAGAACCTACACCTCGCGCTATTTATGGGTGAAGCCCCAGAACGCCTCCTCCAGGGCCCCCATTTATCCCTATTTGTCGCTAGGCGCCGCCCGTAATCCGTTCCATCGCCCTCCGCTCTGCCTACCCGGCCCACACACCATAATTCACCGGGTCATTTCCGCTAATACGCCTCGGCGGCCGGGCGCCTCAGTTGCGGCTTAGGGGGTTATTACGATTTTCTAAAGAATGAACCCCGGAGATGATTTATGGGGGGTTTGCGATGAGTATTTTAAGCCTAGAACGAAGGAGGCATTGAGATAGCCAGATAGATATAAAGAGAGAGAGGGAGAGAGAGCGAAAGAGCGAAATAGACAGATAGAGAGCGATATGTATCTAGACACGCTTAAATTACCATTTCAGGACCCAAACTCTCGGTTCGCATGTGTGGGCTCGCTACTCGCCGAGCAGCCGGCATGTCAATGCAAGGAGGACGAGGGTGAACTGGCCTGCATCAATGCTCAATTCATCGAGACTGGCGTGTTCGCGACGGTGAATAATCACTATAAGTAAGTTCAACACATTTTTGAGGATCCGATCATTGTTTCAAAATACTCAAAATTTGTCTTTCTTTATCCCAGAATTCTTCTATTACTATTAGTGCATCTATGGATACCTGGAAAAGTGCGCCATTTTCCAGTCTCTGTAGTGTCAGCTATACGTCCTGACACTCTCCCTTTAAACTACACTCTGATGCCATCAGAATCGTATCGTCCACCTCAAGATCGCATCACCGCTCACTTGCCCCTCCAAACCCGCCTCGGGTCATCCGTCCCTAAATGAATGGCATAAAAAGTGGGGGTGTTGGTGGTTGGGGGAAATTAGATTCGTGGGGTCTGCTTCGGCTTCTATTCCTGCTTGAAGATAAGTGAGGGAGAAGCAGAAGGCAATTTGTTGGGCCCGGGGAACACCGCATGGGGATGGCGCGACGGACGTGACGACGATTGCTTGCACCCAGGGGGATACTCTGGGAGGTTTAGGAATGTATCTGGGGTGGCATTGGGGAGATCGAGATTTTCTGGGGATTCAGAAGTTTAGAAATTAAAGCAACACCCCGAAAAGGAGCTTCCTAGACTGAAATATACTAAACTCAAGATCAAAATTGAAATTAATGAGTGGCACATCTAAAAAACCAACGTTTTATGAATTTTCGGTACAAAATCCCGTTAAACTTTCAGGCACATGAAGAAGATCACGTTCCACGGCAACAACTTCCAAGACCTACCTCAGGGATCGCTGTTCGGCGACTATGTCCATTCCTCCTTGACGACGCTGAACATCTCCGCCAACTACATTGTCAATTTACACTCGGGAGCATTGAGTGGTGGGTTGAAAGAATCGCTTTGCCTAGATCAGTCGCTCTGTATCTCTTTCTCTCTCCCTCTCTCTCTCTCTCTCTCTCTCTCTCTCTCTCTCTCTCTCCCTTTCTCTCTGGTCTGGTGGTTTCTGAAAACCCCTTCTCTGAAAAACCAAGACAATTTGTTACTTTCAGGAGTCCCAAATCTTCGGGTACTCGACCTCAGCAACAATGAGATCGTGCTCAAGGAGGAGAATATAGATTTCTTGATGCATACTCCGGATTTGGAAGAGGTACTGTAGGAAACCTGGGTCGAAATTTGGTTTTGTGCAGCTCTACCTCCGCCGTGCCTTCACCGCCACCCTAAACCGCACAAAGCAGTTCGATCTGATGATGCGCATGTTTAGGAGGGCGAACTTGCAGAAGTTGAAGGTGAGTGAGAGAGAGAGAGAGAGAGAGAGAGGAGAGAGAGAGAGAGAGTGAGAGAGACCAAAATCGATTTCCAGGTTCTCGACCTCTCCTACAACTTTCTGGAATCGATACCTCCACAGCTCCCCTGTGCCTTTCCTGCCCTCCAGAAGCTCGACCTCCGCCAGAATTTTCTAAATGACTTGGTGGTGAACGCGAGTTGCTTGAGGAATATTCACGATCTGGACTTGAGCAGGTAAGTCATAAGCCAAAGTCTAAGCCTTAGCCTATGTCTAAGCCTGTCTTTTAGAAACGGCTTCAACCAGCCGAACAAGACCACTCGTCAACTCCTGAGTCGCCTCCCGGACAACTCGATCAATTTCCGGAATCCGTTCTTGTGCGATTGCAAGAGTGCCGAGTATATCCAGTGGATTAAATCGACGAGATCGGTACGTTTTTCGATATTTATATAAATTACGAATTACTTGTAGATTCGCGAAAAAAGCAACCTGATCTGCGACAAGGCGAGCCCGAAGAAATTCTCTGGGGTCCGTATTACCGAAGTGCCTGTGAAAGAGTGAGTTTTCATATAATTCATTTCTCTCTCTCACTCTCTCTCTCTCTCTCTCTCTCTCTCTCTCTCTCTCTCTCTCTTTCTTTCTCTTGCTCTCACTCTCACTTTCTCTCTCTCTCTCTCTCTCTCTCTCTCCGCTCTTCCTCTCTCCATTAAAACACTAATTTTAACCATTTTTAGACTCGACTGCTTGACTAGCTCCGCCATCGGCTCGTGGTCCTTATTTTTACCCGTTTTCCTGCTACTTTTCCCCACAATTTGCAGGGTATTTGCTTTTATTTTATAGTAATTTTTGTCAATTTAACATTTGAAAACACGAAATTGATAAAGTAATCAAAAACCCCTCTCCTGAGTCTCCGTTGACCTGTGATTTGCCCCCCTTGCGCGCAAAAGTAGAAATTGCCTCCCCAAACCGTCATCCTTGAAAAATTCTGGTCAATAAAATTTTATAAAATTACTACGCGATTACTTTGTAAAACCTAGAAATCACAGACTCAAGCTCAGTAAAATTGAAAAAGTAAGCATACAACATTAAAGTTTGCAAAAAACGAAACTCGAAGAAGAAAGACAGCAAGGCTCAAAAATCAAATACAAAATTTGAATCTGATCGATATGCAATTTTCTTTTTTGATTAAATGAAATGTGAGATCCGAAATAGGTCAATCCGAAATGGAACACTGGGACCATAAATATGTAAAAAGTGTCGAAATTGCGCCCTATAAGAAGGTTTTGCATAACAACAAAAAATAAAATTGGAAGATTTGCAAATTGCGTCTTGTGACTTGGGGAGAAACATCGCCAGATTTGAGAAAGCATCAACTGCCAAGACAAAAAATATTCTCCGTTAGCTGACCGCCCATCTCGGCCTCCTTGAAGATGACGTGGCGCCCGAATTCGGGCATCAATTTGTGCGTTATTACCTGAAACAGCATTTTTTCATTTTATTAGCAATGGAAAAATAAAGTTTCTAGCTAATTAAACCTATAGAAGGATATAGTTTGTATGTGCTGACGTACGCGTATAAAATTCGGCACTTCCATATACGCCAAAAACATTTCAAATGCCTTCTTCTCGCACTGGTACTTGATTTGGAGGTGCTGAAAACAAGAGATAAAGGATCTGTTTTTCTAAATAGTGCTTACCTCAAAAAGCAGGTTACTGTAGGTTTTATACACTTTTTTACAGATCTTGGCACTTTTCTCCGAGTAGCCCATGCCTAAAACACCAACTTATTTTTCAGCAATTTTTTTCGGTTACTTAAGTTATCCCTTCTAGTTCCCTGTAGTGTTGGACAGCACCCCGAAGAGAGCACCCCGGGGTGCTTTTTTTCCCACCCCGGGGTGCTTTTATTTTCACCCCGGGGTGCTCTAAAAGCACCCCGGGGTGCTTTCAAACCACCCCGGGGTGCCCCCAAAAAGCACCCCGGGTGGAAATAACAGCACCCCGGCCGAGAGAGGGGTGCTCTGGAAGCACCCCGTCCCCCAGTGGGGTGCTCCAAAAGCACCCCAGCCCCCTTGGGTGCTCAAAAAAGCACCCCGGGGTGCTTTCGGAAGCACCCCAGGGGTGCCTTTGGGGTGCTCTGTGGGGTGCTGTTTGGGGTGCTTTTTGCCAATGACCGCAATATATCAACTAGGCTATTTTGATCGAATCAGGAGATGAACATCATTTTCGAGCAGTTCGCACAACTCGGCGCCAATTCGATTGCAACTCATTTGGGGTCGTTTGGGAGCATTTCTTCGAGGTTGTTGAACACGGCGGACGATTTCGAGACGTTTTTTTCTAACCGCGCTAGCGGCCTAAAGAAGCTTGATAGAATTGCTTTAAGCGGTTGAGAAGGTTGCATTTTGAGCGCTCTTTCCAACGGTATACTTGCCGTTCTCCAAAATCGTCGGGGGACAGAGAGGGGAGCGTTTTAGTGCCGAAAGGTGTACCTGTCGAAGTTGTCGCCGCACTAAAACCATCATATCTCAATTTGCACTGCGAATCCTGGATCGCGAAGGGCACCATTCGAAAGAGCGCGAAAAGTTCTATCTGCCCAACGAGTTTCAGCTCTTTACCAGCTTTGCCCAGCCTGCTAGCGCGGTTAGAAAAAAACGTCTCGAAATCGTCCGCCGTGTTCAACAACCTCGAAGAAATGCTACGAAACGACCTCCAAATGAGTTGCAATCGAATTGGCGCCGAGTTGTGCGAACTGCTCGAAAATGATGTTCATCTCCTGATTCGATCAAAATAGCCTAGTTGATATATTGCGGTCATTGGCAAAAAGCACCCCAAACAGCACCCCACAGAGCACCCCAAAAGGCACCCCTGGGGTGCTTCAGCACCCCGGGTGCTTTTTGGAGCACCCAAGGGGGCTGGGGTGCTTTTTGGAGCACCCCACTGGGGGACGGGGTGCTTTCCAGAGCACCCCTCTCTCGGCCGGGGTGCTTTTATTTCCACCCCGGGGTGCTTTTGGGGCACCCCGGGTGAGTTTGAGCACCCCGGGTGCTTTTTGGAGCACCCAGGGTGAAAATAAAAGCACCCCGGGTGGGAAAAAAAGCACCCCGGGGTGCTCTCTTCGGGGTGCTGTCCAACACTAGTTCCCTGCAAAGAATATGGGTAAGCTTGGAGAGAGAGAGAGAGAGAGAGAGAGAGAAAGAGAGAGAGAAAGAGAGAGCGCGAGTGAGCGAGAAACGCGGGATAGAGGCAGAGAGGTAGAAATGACCAAGACCTACTGTGAGAAAACATCAATATAACCCGTAACAACACTAGCTCTTCATCTCCCATCTCCAATCGTCGCATGTAAGGATATAACGTATCGAGACCATAATTTAATAGTAGCTCGAACATTGGCTTTAATCTGAAAACGAATTTATGAGAGAGAGCGAGGGAGAGAGAGAGAGAGAGATGGTGAGAAAGATGTCGACTTACTGTTTCATATGAGGTAGTTGATCTCTAGTGAGTCGTACTCCAAGTATGGTCAACATTCCATCAAAGTTATATTTATAGCTGTAGTAGTAATTTGTCAAAATGCCTTGAGGGAGGTATTGACGGCAGCAGAGTAGCGTCTAAAAATCGGCGATATGACAGACGATAGAGATATAAGGACAGAGAGAGAGAGAGAGAGAGAGAGAGAGTCAGATAGAACGAGAGAGAGAGAGCGAGAGGGAAAGATACAGAGACACTTATCCGATCGGCTTCATCCAAATCCCAGAATTCTCTTATCGAGCGCACCCAATCCAAGAAAAAAGTCAATGATCTTGCCACTCTTCTGCCACCAAGTGAAGACATACATTCAGATGGTACTTCCATTGGTGAGGCCGGGTTGATACCGTACTAAAACATAATTCAGTTATTCTTCTTATCGCCTTCTCCCCCTCCCGCTCTCCTTTTCTCTCTCTCTCTCTCTCTCTCTCTCTCTCTCTCTCTCTCTCTCTCTCTCTTACCGGTAACTTGCTGCACACCCTCCTTGGATTGTTCAAAGCCTCCGCCATCGGGCAATCAAAATGGAACTTGAAATCGTAGCTCAGTCTCTGACACCCATCGTCGTTCAATAAAAATCTGGAATAATACAGTAATTATGATATAGAAAAATTTTTTGTACTTCTCCAACTTGACGAGCATCTGGGGCAGGTTCTTGGCTGCAGAAATGATTAGGGGATTTGAGTAGCTCTTCGCGTAAAGTTGGACTTCTCTCTGAAATAGAGATGCTCGTTTTTTTTTCATTTTTTAGTACGTTAAATGACCAAAAACAATACGCAAATCAGACTTACAGAATCCGGAGCTGTACTCGGACCAGGTTGATCTTCTTCCAAATCGATTAAAATGGTATCCAAAGCTTTCCGCTTCTTCTCGTCAGTACCCAGCTTTTCACGTAAGGAGCACCCAGTACGACGCGCGGTTACTGTACTTTTGAAATTTTAGAAAATTTAGATAAATCACTTTCCGGTATCATGCCCACCTCCAGACATTTTTCATAGCGACAAGCTTTGCATTTGGCTTTTCCTGAATTCTAATAGATAAAAAAAGATTTATTGTCCAACCTTTGCCTCGAAAATTCTGAGAAGCACATCGCTTCTCATTTTCACAATTTAGATCGGGGTCCTGGGTGGTGACACGCAGGAAGAAGACCTTACAGCTTCTGAAAACGCTCAATTAAACTTCCTCTCTCGCTCTCTCTCACTCGCTCTCTCTCCCTCTCTCTCTGTCTCTCTCTCTCTCGCTCTCCCTCTCTCTCCTTTCTTCCGGGTTCAACCGCACCAAATACAAAATTTTCGTGTAAAATTCCCAGTTGGCTTCCCGGACCATCGAACTAAATGTTTTGCCGCTCAGATCATCTGGATTCCGAATCTTTGGCGCGTGTTTTGGGGGATTTTTGGTGTAAGTTTGTGTGTGTGTGTGGGGGGCTGGGTACATTAAGCGTTTCCCCCCAAAAATTTGGCACCACAGATCGTTCGGAGGCCCCCGGCCGGAATCCTGCCCCGGGGGTGCGACAAATCAAGGACATTGCTATTCTAGGGCGTCAAGAAAGGGGATGTGAGATTGAATGGCTTTTCAAGGAGCCGGGAGACCGCTGTACCTGGAAAGAGCACGACGTCACGGGCAATTGGAGCACGACACGAATCTATAGAAACTAGACAAGAATCTGGTTTTTGTACAGATAGAGCACCCGTGCGAAAGCCGCCTAAATCCCTACAACAAAATGCTAGCTGTAAAAATGCCGCCGAAAACGAAGAGAGAGGGGGAGAGAGAGAGCGAGAGAGAGAGAGAAAGAGAGAGAGAGAAAGAGAGAGAGAGAGAGAAAGAGAGGTACAGAGAGGGAACCAGAGTTGAAGCGAGAGAGGCGGAGAGAGAAAGAGAGGAAGAGAGATAGCAAGAGAAAGAGAGAGCGAGAGAGAGAAAGTGCGAAAAAGTGATAGTTTCTAAACTCACGAGCATGCGATGGAGCCATAACACCGAAACGCTGGTGATTTCCCGCAAACTCGGCAGTCCCTGGTGTCAGCGGAAGATAAATCTGGGAGCTCGACCAGGTCGGGCGGTTCGTCCATAAGAGCGACTGGAAAGAGAAGTAAGGTTAAAAACTGTAGCGCTAAACATCAGAAATTGTGAGAAATAGCGATAAAAAGAACGAGAAAGAAAGGGGGAGAGCGAGAGGGGGAGAGCGAGCGAGAGAGAGAGAAAGAGAGAGAGAGAGAGAGAGAGAGTGAGAGCGAGATCGCAAGGAAGCTAGAAAATTTGTACCAAACCCAAAGGCCCACAAAAATTCGTAGTATGCCGCAATCCCGACAAGAAAAATGTGCTTTTACGTCTCAGAAAACGTGATGCAATTACACGCTGTTATCTACACCTGAGATTTAATGAAAAAAGCATGCTACAGCTAAAAATCAGCACCAGAATCCACCTATTCAAAGAGAATTGGCGACCCTGAAACTCCGAGAACCCGTCTAATCCCAAAAATGGAAATGGCAACTAATCCGGGCCGCGTAGAGGTGTGTAGCAGGCACCGGAAATTGGTAAAACGCTCCGATGTGCACCAAACAACGCGCCCAAAATTCCCGGGGGATTGTGTATTTTCACAGCTGCACTCAATATAAGCCCCAAGCCAGAGAACAATTAGCCTCCGATCGGCACAAACTACAAAAGCGGGAAGTAGTGCGATGTAAACCATGCGCGGAGGCGGCGCTCCGGGCTCGGATATCTGGCAATCAAATCTGGGTGTGCAAATGCACGAAGGCCAAAGGCGGCACAGCACAGAGACTAGTAGAACAACATGGGAACACTGAGTACAAAATTTGGACCTAAAAAGGTACTAGTGCAAGGCCCCCTCCACGATGCAAAAGATGATACGTATGGATTCCAGCCCTAGACACTAGACAAAAAAAATCAGAATCGCCAGAATCCGGCCACTTTGAGAACGCGGCCTTTTAAAAAACTATGCATGTCGTGATTTTGATGCTCGGCACTTTGGATGTCGGGATTTCTGCGCTTTCACATAACCGAGAGCGGGAAAAACTAGTTATGACCCAACAAGGTTTAGCAGGTTGTTGCCTAGCGTACGAGACTTGAGTCAAAGCAAACTCCAAGCATTAAGAGGCAACAATGAGGGCTTGCCGCAAGATTCTGGAGTAAGGGATGCAGAGGAGTGTCGCGTAGCGTATAAATAACTTTTACCGATAATACCCTATCCCTACTACCATTATGCGAATTCTCCAAGGGGAAAGTGACGAGGTGTAGAGAATACTAGCGGAACTCATTAATCTTATCCTAATGACCTTAAGGAAAACGAAATACGTTACACTACGACACTGGATACGACAAAGCGGGATTGCAAAAGTGAAGTGAACATAATCAGAAAATCTCGCAAAATCCTGACGAGGCGTAGCGTATCGTTCAAATATTTGCCAAGATCGGGCTCCAGGATGTCGAGTAAAACGCGCGAAAATCTCAACCAAAGAACAAAAAGAAACCGACTCGATTCTCAAGATTGTCTAAATTCTCAGAGCCACACACCTGACAAGCGAACAAAACCCGAGCCAATTCCTTGGAAAATGGAATATTACTCATTATCTCCGTGGGAAGTACGGCGTACCCTCATGGTCTTGATCTTGAGAGTTATAAACACTTTTAAGTTAGAAAAGCTTCCCCTTCTGTTAGATTTTCGTATGTATAGTCAAGCTTTGAGTACGTAGTACGCCAAACGAGGATAGAGTACGCGTGAATTCGGGGTACAGCTGTGGGGGAAACCCCTCGGGACTCGCCAGGGGCCGGGAAATCAGAGGCAAAAATAGCTAATTGCCTAGAGATCAGCGCCAGAATGGATCGGGTTGGGAGAGGATTCTGGTAAAATAGGAGTAAAGAGTATAGGTTTAGAAAACAGAGAAAATTTTTTGAATACTTGGAGTCCAGAAAATATAGGCATTCATGACTGAAAGCAACAAACTTCTGGGAATTTTGATAAAGTGTTCTGTGCTCAATTTTTGCAAAAGTCGAGGAAAATTAATTCTGTGAACTAAAACACGCGGATTTTCGCGAATTTAATTCTGGGAAAGGTACAGAGCACGAAATACTGACTGGATTTTTGCAGAAAAGCCTGTCTGATCCCAACAGGGAATTTGTAACCGCACAAAAAAACTGAATCAGCCGATACGCTTGAGATTCGAGGCAAGAAATCTAAGATTTAACTAGCATAAAAAATGGAAAAACCTGAATTTGGCTAAAAACAGGTGATTTTTTTAGAAAAAGCAAGTACAAGCAGCTGCAAAAGCGTCCTGCTCGAAACACGAAATATAAAAATTGCATCGATGTCACCTTCGAGAAGCTCATTGCAATCGCTTGTGTATTTCAATAATTTAATTATTGTAGATTTCAAATGCAAACCAGCTATTACAGGCTCACCACTGGTTCAGGAATTTATTTATTTAATTCAATTAATCCATCGCAATTTCATTTTGAAAAACTGTATGATAACTAATCTGCATGACAAAGATCCGACAATCTTGCGTTTGTCGATACCCCCCATAACCCCGATTTGACATCCATTTACACAGCCGACTAGACGCTATTATGACACAAGATTTAATTTTTTAAGTAAAAGGCAAAAAATTAGAAATTTGCAAATTAGTGGCGTACGCTCGGAACTACCAGAATCGATTCAAAATACACCCGAAAAGCGCGTGCGTGTGCGTTGCCGGGTCTTGGAAAGAAGGTCCGACCAGAGCACAGTGTCGGTCTCGATACGCCGCTGCGCCCAATTGGGGGTTAAGGGCCGAGAAATAGCGTGTAAATAGTGGAGAACCCCGGAAACTGGTCGACTGAACTTTGGAGGCAAAGGTGAGGCGGCGATGAGGGAGATACCAGCGAGGTAGCGAGAGAGAGAGAGAGAGAGAGAGAGAGAGAGAGAGAGAGAGAGAGAGAGAGAGAGAGAGCGCGAAAGAGATATAGAGCTACCGCTGCAAAGTATCTAAACACAGCCATTACGATGATTAGCGTGTGTCGCTGGAAAACTAGCGGAAGTGGGTGAGAGAGAGAGGCAGAAAAGCAGAAGAATAGTGCAACGAACAAAATAGCTGCTCAAAGATCGCTCCGTAGTCGTGCTGATTTCAACAATTTTTTTAAACGGCAGAATTCGAAAAATAGGTCCTAACACTTCCGGAATCTCGGAAACCTGCTCCGGCAGTTTGAAGAAAAGCGGCAAAACATGGATACAAATCAACCTTAAATTTAAAATAAGCCGTCGTTAAAGGGATGTGATAATTACTGCTGAAAAATATATGACATGTGATAATTAATGCTAAAAAATAGAACCTTTTTTGGTACTCAGGAAGTGTTCCAAGTACGGTACACTACAGTCCACAAAATTTTAAGGTTGATACGACTGATTTAATGTAACCCGGTGTCCTAAAGATACATTGACGTTCAAGGAATAGAGAAGAGGCTGGTTGGAATCAGAAAAATAGCTTGAAAATCACCAGAATATCCATTTTGTGAATATCCATTAGAACATTTTGCGTTTTTTGAGGGATCTCCGCTTTTCCGCAGCATTGAGAGAATATCCGATCCATCTTTCATTAGTTTTGTCTGCTTTTTAATGTTATACGATAGTATTTTTCAAAGTTAGAACTCTTTATACAAATAAATAAATCAAATAAGATCACAGGGCTTTGTAGTGAAACGTCAGGGCAACATGGTGCCTACATATCTTGGGTCCAAAGGGAACTCCTCCATTTTCTTGGGGGGAAAATTGAGTAATTGTTTGGAATTGAGGTACGGAATGTACAGACGTGGGACTTGGCAATTTGCCAAGCTCAAAAATCATGCGATTTAGAGGTAGAGAGAGCACTCGGCCTCCGAGGTCAGGTCTTCGGGCATCTGGACGTCCAAGAAGACACGGAACTCCTTCTCCTTCTGCGATTCTTCGACGATTGGCTCGGGGGTGGTGCTGGTGACCTGCAAGAAAAATATTATAATCAGAACTTGGGATGCTTAATTTCCTTAATAATCCCTGTTATCTCGCTATAAACCCTATGCAGGCATATTAGCAAAGATTCTCGAGGATTCAGGTTCTGAAACCTTTCAGCAATAAATTTTTTGTGACTTACAGCAGCCTCTGTGGTAGTGGACGGCTTCTGGGTGGAGGCGAGTGCCATCATTTTCTTGCTCGGATGCCAGCCGCAGAGAGTCTTCAGCTCCTCACGCACCTCCTTGGGCAGGTTGCCAAGGAAGTTGCGCTCCTGAAATCAGTAATATTGCACTAATGTGTCCCTACGGTACGCTACACTACACTACGCGACATCACGTTACGAAACACTGCGCTACGCAATACTCCGCTACGCGACACTACGCAAAACACTGCCAATCGGAGACGAGCAATTAAAATAGAGCGAAGGCTGAAAATACCACATCCCAAAATACGTTGCGCTACGCTAGACACCGTGATCACAATGTGATGGTAAAGCATAAAGTTCAAAACACTACCTCTTGGCGGATCTTCTTCCAGGTATCATAGGCTTGCTTGGCATCAGGGGACAGGGCGAGGACACGCTCGTGCAGCTCGGTCTTGCGGATCTGCAGCTCCTCCTCCCACTTGTTGAACAGGGCCAGCTAAAATCACAAAAATAGTTGATGATTTTTTAGTTAGCCCCTCTAATTTTAAAGGAGCGAAAAAAGTTCTCGCAAACATCTTACAGCCTCTCCGTTCAACAGCGAGTAGGCCAGCTTCTTGAGGGCGGTCTCCTTCTCCTCGAGCGTGAGCTTGTGATCGAACCACACGGCGCGGAACTCCATCTTGACCGACTTGGTGACGCTCCTCAAGAACGAGGGTCCACAGCGTCCGGCAAAGATTTGGTCACGTACGTCCTCCGGCATGGAGTGGACAATTTTTCTGTAATTTATTATTGAACAAGGTTTTACGATAGTAGGTTTTTAGCTGCTGGTGGGATTCTTTAAAATGGATCGTCCAAGCCTAAGCCTAAGCCTAAGCCTAAGCCTAAGCCTAAGCCTAAGCCTAAGCCTAAGCCTAAGCCTAACAAGGGAACCTCACGCGGACAGGGTGGAATTTCGAAAAACGCTCGCGGCTAGCCCCAGGTAATCGGCCATTGCGATCACGATGCGCTTGTCAGATTTTTCTGAACACACCTGTGGACAGAGATACAGCACTTCCGGAAAATACTGATTTACATGCAAAAGATTAGCATAGCTGAATGGTTTATGAGGCTCTCCCATCACATCGGAATCACCAATTGAATGGCCGAGTGGTAAGCGACTCGCTTGACAGGATTATGACCAGGGTACGGACCCGCTCACGGCTTTTTCGTTTTGCTTTTTGGCCAGCGATTTTTGGCAGAAGTCCAGAATGTTACTACCATTAGCAAAAACCGAACTTTCCGCTGTATTTCATGACTAGCCATAAAGATAAAGAATTTGAAAAACGAAAATTGGATGTTCCGGCTGGTGGTTCCCCCATCCTTCTGCCAAAAAGCCAAAATTTTGAATGAACAATCTTTTGACTTCGGTGTATGCACAACTCCTATAAACGTGGAAAGCACTTAAAAACATATGATTCTGGACTTCTGCCAAAAATCGCTGGCCAAAAAGCAAAACGAAAAAGCCGTTAGCGGGTCCGTACCCTGGTCATAATCCTGTCAAGCGAGTCGCTTACCACTCGGCCATTCAACTGGTGATTCCATAGTGATGGGAGAGCCTCATAAACCATTCAGCTATGCTAATCTTTTGCATGTAAATCAGTATTTTCCGGAAGTGCTGTATCTCTGTCCACAGGTGTGTTCAGAAAAATCTGACAAGCGCATCGTGATCGCAATGGCCGATTACCTGAGGGTAGCCGCGAGCGTTTTTCGAAATTCCACCTTGTCCGCGTGAGGTTCCCTTGTAAGCCTAAGACTAAGCCTAACTAGGGAAGTGCAAATAAAAAATCCGGAAAATCGCTTAGCAAAAATATGGGTCTGATAGAGTCGACGACGGGGATTCCGAAACTGCAATCAGAATTTGCAAAACGCTGAATACAAAAAAGTTATGAGCATTTTAAGTTTACAGCACTTTTCTCGCCCTCCCTTATGAGCCCCTCCCAAAGCCGGGTGTCCGTCTGTCGAGTGGTGTAGTGGCTAACTAGCCTGCCCCTGGGGAGGAGGGTCTTTGGTTCGGCTCCCCGGTCATGCCAAATTTTTTGCTTTTTGGTCAAAGTCAAGAACTTTAGACTTCTGAAAGTTTGAAAGTCGAAAAGCCCTTTCTCTTAATTTTTAAATTCATGAAACCGATTACGAAGTGGTGGCGGGAGTGCAAGTACTGCCCTACCCGTACGCCCGTACGGGAGTACGGGTAGGGCACTAAAAAAAATTCACGCTGTTTTTTCGTAAGGTAAGCCTACACGCAGTCAATAGTAAAGAAAATGTTCAAAAATTTAAATTTCGGACTTCGAAACTTTGAAGAAGTCTAAAGTTCTTGACCTTGACCAAAAAGCAAAAAATTTGGCATGACCGGGGAGCCGAACCAAAGACCCTCCTCCCCAGGGGCAGGCTAGTTAGCCACTACACCACTCGACAGACGGACACCCGGCTTTGGGAGGGGCTCATAAGGGAGGGCGAGAAAAGTGCTGTAAACTTAAAATGCTCATAACTTTTTTGTATTACGCGTTTTGCAAATTCTGATTGCAGTTTCGGAATCCCCGTCGTCGACTCTATCAGACCCATATTTTTGCTAAGCGATTTTCCAGATTTTTTATTTGCACTTCCCTAGTAAGGGTAATCGTTGGCCAACTTAGGGGAAAATCTGTGGGACCCCTTCCACAATAGTTGGCCAGGTGGGGGGCGCGTGGGGAGCATGTAGAGTGCATGCAAAATAAGGTTATTAAAGCACCTGCCGTCGGGACTTTTATAGGTTTTATAGGACTTCTTTCAAGGTTATATGGTAGGATAGCGTAGGCTTAGACATACCTGGTATCTCTGTGCTGCTTCTCGCACTCTTCGCCCTCCTTGTGCGTGGCCCAGATGGCTTTCACCTGGAAGAGCGTTTTTGGCCGTTTTAAAGGACCATTGAAGTCACATTTTCAGATGCTAAACTCATAGATGCTTGAAAAATATGTTGTTAAATCTGAATTCAGGCATAAGTTCGATCAATTTTATCATTAAAAGACAAAAACTAGATTATAAAGCATTTAAAATAGATAAATTTTTTAGGCTTTAATGTACTTTTAAAGCGACTAAGCCATATTTTGAAGCTTCTTACCTTGGCCTGGTACTCTTCCGGCAGTCGCTCGGTGAACTTCGGCAAGCCGCAGGGAGGTCCCTGAAAACAACTCCTTTGAGAAATTCGGATGTGAATTCTGAGTTTTTGGCGCATTAATAAATTGCTAAATTCACATTTTGCGTTCAAAATTTCAGATCGTAAAAACGCACCCTCTTCGTCCACGGGCCTAGCGGGCTGAACGGGTCGGAGCCCCAACGTGGTGGCCAGGCTGCCACGAGGCAAGGTAGGGTGAGAAGGAGAAGGGATCGCATTTGTACCTGGAAAAGAAAATATAGTTTTATAATGTCAATTAATGCCCACAGAAAAAAATAAGTAGGGGAATAATAACGTAGCCGAAAAAGCCAGAAACGCAGGTGGTCGGAGCTTCAAAATCCTGATGAGCTCAAAAGCAAGTTAAAATCCAGCCTTTCTTGATGTCATATTTAATTTCTGAAAGTTAGGGCATTCAAACAGATCCAACAAAATATATCGAAAAATTATCGCCAAGAATAAACTTATGAAAAATCGTTTTGGCCGAAATTTTCGATCTAGCGCCTCAATTAGCGTTAAAGTAGCTCTTTCCCTGTCCTTTTTTATTATTCAGCAACTAAATAATGCAATGTCGTAGTGAGAAACACCTTTAAACATAAAAAAATCAAAAATCCTAGTAGTTTTTACAGCAAAGGTCAAGCGGACTATCGTCTCGTACGGTCGCGTACAGATCGTTAAGAGAAGCACTCCTCGATTGGGCCTCTCATTTCAGCCATTTATAGAAGCACCTTCCCTTCCAGAGAAGTCAGTGCGGAAAACGATAAACGGAAAAAGCTGACAGCTTTTCGATCCCCGCGCGGGCGCGGTCCTAGAGATGGACGAATGTCTGGGGCGGACAGTCCGTCAGGAGGATTGGTCCGTACACTCCGGAAGAATAAACAGGCCTCTTCCAGGCCACTCTTCCCCCCTTCGGGGCCACAAACAACGATTTTCTGCACTACACACAAGGCCATAGAGAGAGAGAGAGAGGAAGAGTCAGAAAGAGTGAGAGAAAGAGAAAGGGAGAGAAATTTGTGAATCCAGACTAAAAGTGTTTGCGTTCGTATTTGTTTGTGTGTGTGCATGCGTTTGTGCCCTGGGGGGGGAACGGCACTTTTCGCTGAATCCGGCGCGAACGACTGCATAGAGAAAGCGAAAGAGACGTCGTGAGGGAATTCGCGTCGTTGCGTAGGTGGACCGGAGCGTTGCGGAATTTTTGAAAGACATGTTGCGTCCTCGAAATTTTGATCCAAACCATGTTGTAGCGGGAGGGAGTCAGCGAGAGAGGAAGAGAGCGAGCGAGAGAACGAGCGAGGGTGCTTTCCTGAAGGTTTAAAAAGCCTAATTCAGACCATTTAGAAAACTCCGAAGCTTAAAAGGTTCTAGCGTTCCCTAAGAATACTGTAGCTTAAACTCCAGCCAAGCCGAGCACCGAACCAAGCACAAAATGCCCCACCTCGCCCGAATTTATACCCAAACCCGAAATACCATCACAGATCGGCGGCAAGGAAGGCGTGCCGATGGCCGAATCGGGAAGGAGGGGATGGGCGCGTCCAGTTCTTCGCCTCGAGCGAGACGCCCACAAGGGGTCCAACAGCACGAAAAATTCCTCGTGGATAATTCCGCCCGTTCCGGAAATCGTTTCCGCGCTTTCTGCGCCCAGCGCCCCGGCAAATCCTCGATTTCCGTGCAAACACACAACACCCCACACAGTCATCGGAATCGGAAGGGGGTGGAATTGAGGGTTTAAATTCTGATAAAAGTGAAAAGAGTGTATGACGAGAAAGAGAGGGAGACAGGGAGAGAGAAAGTGGGAGAGAGAGGAAGCGAGAGAGAAAGAGAGAGCGAGAAATGAGAGAGAGGGACGAGAGAGCGAGAGAGAGTAAGAGAGAGAGACGAGAGCGAGAGCATCAGAATAATGTATCGGCTACGTAGCGGTCGTAGCTACTGCGGAAGATCGAAACTTCACAATGCCCGATTTTCAAAATATCGATATTTCAGAATGTCGAAATGTCATCAAATCGAAATCTCATTCTCTCATTAACTTCGGTATTTTGAAAGCAAGCCCCGCGAAAACGTACAAAAAACGTATTTTTAAGATTTTTTAAAATCCGACCTTTCCATCCCCTTTACAGCATCGCTCAAATCCAGACGTCAAAAAACCTGTTTTCTGCGTTTTTCAAAGGTCTTCCTCTTCTTTCCCAACCTCGGCCAATTCTTTGTCCATGGTGCCGGGGGCATTTTTTTGGGGGTGGCTGAGGCGATCTGTTGACGCGTAGGGAGCAAGGGACGCCCTTTGGCCCTGTTGCTCTCTACGCGCGTTGACCGGTCCTCCTTGGGTGGGGTTGTGGGCAACCTGCAAAAACAGAGAGGGGGCCTTTAGTTTGGATTCTTTATTCATCGTTTCTTTGTCTGTATGTCTGTCTGTCTCTCTCTCTCTCTATGGCCCTCACTCTCTGTTTCTCTCTCTTTCTCTCTTGTCTCTCTCTCTTCTCTGTTTAACTCTCTCCATGTCTGAACGTCGTTTTTCATCTTATGCATAGGATCAAGCTTTTCACCCTAGAGGCCGTCATTCATTAAATATTCACCACGGGTTTTGCATTCCATTTTTTTCTTGATTACTCACCTGCAAGTATTACAAACTAAATTTTTAGAATTTGATTTTTGACGTGAATTCAAAAGCAGCAAGACCTTTTGCATCCGATTTTCCCTTTTGATGTCGTTTTTGAAAAAAATTGGAAAAATTACACAAAACACCGTGTGGTAACTTGATTTTGCGGTTTCCTGAGGTCAGAAGCTCAACTGACGCTCAAAAACTCAACCTTCCTTTCGTAAATCAAAAATGCAAAACTCGGATATATACTAATCACGAATCCACTTCAAGGCCAGAAGCTCACCTCGATTAGGCGCCAGGTCTACACAAAAATCCTATGATTTCGAAATTTCAATGATTTCGAAAACGCTCGAACAACCTGAGCAAAAAATTCAAGTTAGATTTTTTGGTTTCTTGACGTCACAATATCAGCCCAAGACCAAAAGCACAGCTCACCAAGACCACACAAAATCTGCATAGCCGATCGCTGTCTTTTAAAACCCTGCCTTTAAGCAAATTTTTCGAATTGGTTTTTCAACGTCACGACTCCACCTGGAGACCAAAAGCACACTTGAATACGACGATATGTTCACGTAGAATTCCTATAGGTATATAATGGTTTCGAAAACCATCGGAACCCACGTTACTTAAGACACGATTTGCGGTTTGGCGCTCATTTCTTCTTGCCCGATTTCGGCCGGTTCTGCTGTCCCATTCGGAAGGGTCATCCCCGCAATCGGGGGTGCCAGGCCATACCTTCCCCCCTTGGCGCGTCTCGTCTAGGGTGTCTGTTAGCCCCTCGATACCGCCGACCTTTTGTGCCCCTGCGGGCAATCTGCCAATTTGTGTAGCGCGAGAAGACGCAACTGTCTGCTCCGGTACGCAATGATCCGGCGATTAAGGGTTTTAAGGTCGCGGAATTAAGATTTTGCGGATTTGGCAGAGCTTGGCTCTCTCTCACTCTCCCTCTCTCTATCTCTCTCTCTCTCTATCTCTCTAGCTGTCTCAAACCCAATGGATCGCATGATCCATTCCTGATTGCAGTGAATCACAAAGTCTTCAAGACCAGTCTAGCCGGTTCCACTGGTACCATCTGCTGTCGGTTTGACTGTGTATCTGTGCGTCGTTTCGTCAGCCCTTCCATTCCTCCCTCCTTCCTCTTCTTTTACTAGCTGTTTTCGGCAGCAGCGAATCCTTCCTAGCTCCCACCGGTCGCCAGCTGGCCACCCCGAGCCCCGGGTCCAGCTGGAAAATTTTTCGAGGACATGCCACCGCGCAGCATACTTTACTTTACTATAGACTTTAATATATACTTTACTGCAGACTTTAGAAGTCTTTTGGGAGCCCCATAAGTCCAATTAAACTTTTTTTTTATTGGCCTTAACCTCGCTAAAAATTGTTTGAAAACCCGGGTTATAACCCGGTATAGATTTTCTATTTTGGCTCGATTAACCAGATTTTCAAAAGTTGTGGACAAATTATGCATATTTTCACATTAAGCCCCCCAGGCTTTATGAACTGTTTAGCAACCGGATTCATCGAAAAAGCATTAATACGGCGCCCCGCTAAAAATGTGGGAATTTCTGCCGGCGGTCGGGTGCATCCGGCTCGTTAAATCGGTTATGGGCCTCGGAAAAAGTGATCTCGACGATTTATAGGTTGTCAATTGGCTGGATTTGAACCTGTAGCTTGCTTTTGTGCATTGATTTTTAATGCAATAGGTCCCGTGGAATTTTAGCGCGAGCTTGCTTACTCTGAGATCGTCAAATTTTCAGTTCTGTACGCCTAGACAAGATGTTTGGGGAATTTTGGGCTGACGGGCATTTGGGAATTTTGAAGCACATTGACACCTCAATCATTATTTTGGCCAGCTAGTCGAGGATTTTCGGTATATTGAAATGCTTTTGTCATTTGGAATTTAGTACAGAACTGTTTGGAGCTTTCAAAGATTATGTGACAGCAAAGATTTTTTTAGAATTAAAGGTCAACCAGCGGAGAATCTTCCAGTGTCACTAGGTTTTCGGCTTAGTTAGCGGCCAGCTAGCAAATGTGTTTTCCAAAATCTTTCAAGGCAGCCTGTTACCCAGATTCCCTTGGCAAACAAAAAGTCCGACTTTAGAAACTATGGCCGTATGGCCGCTCAAATCCTATATAATCCGCCAGAGGACAATGCGCGACCCGAAAGTCCAAAAAAGCAAGCAGCCAAATCCGGAATGTAAACACGTATCAGGTTTCCGGAGGAGACCCAGCCCAGCGGAAATGGCACCCGTTTCCAGCCGGTGCGATTTTCCTCCCTTTTTGCTTTTTTCCTCTGGCCTCCAGCCGGACATTTGTGGCCATATGGGTTGCCCGGTTGGCCCTTTGAGGTTGGCCCCCATGCTGGTCCAGATTTCCAGTTTTTGCAGTGGTTTCCCTTCTTATTTTCTTGTTTTGGGGTTGGGCCCTAAGGGCCACTCAGGGCCCTGGGTTTTTTAAGCTCCGGCTGCGAACAAGCACGGCTATAAATTATGGGCCACAGCAGGAGGGTTGGTATTTTGGAGCCACTCGGAATCGAAAATTTTGGGATGAAACCTGGCTTGAAACTTTCAAAAATTGAGGAATTCTTCGTCATAAAACTAGGGCAATAATGATGAATTACATGGCATAATC